ACTTGCGTTCAGTGTCGTGTTTTGGGAACACCAACAGAAGCGGTTCCTTCGCAAATGATACTTTGTTGTCCATTGGCTCGGCCATTATCAGAACAGGCTTTTGATCGGTTGGTGAGAACATGCGCTCTTTAGAGCCGGAGACGATCTCAGGTTTCTGGTGATGGTAAGACCTCGGGGACAAACGACAAGAGTTGAAGAGCTTTCTCCGCTACGGACGAAACCGGTTCCTAGAGATTGGCTTCTTTCCTGCCTTGACGGTCCGTCATTACTTTCTGCGGACTAGACCGATTCTTTCCCCACGGATCCTGAAGGTACAGGAGGGTGGTTGCTGTGCAGGGAAGTTAAGTGGGGCTGGCTACTAGGGACTTCAAGGATGGCCAGAGATACATAAAAATTTTGTCAAATCCATTAAGAAAAGCGCAACTTAGGAATTTTTAGGGGGTTATAATGACCATTGGGGCGGAATGTACTGTCGATGAATGTGGAAAGGGCGCTGGGGAAGGATGCAAGATGTGAACACAAACAAGACTGAATCATGAACAAGTATTCATAAATGCGAGGCCAGCACTTCTTCATGACTTTATGGATAAATTCTGTCAAATTTTCGTCAATCCACGACGAGGGCGTTGTCTGGAGTACTCTTAGTTCTAACCAAACCCCCCCATATTCCCCAGGGTCCGTGTATTTAAAACCTTGTGATAATTTGACGTCCGGCCCTAAGTTGCCGCCAAGAACCACCAGTCAAAAAGGTACTTACTGTTCAACCCACTTTCTGCGATACCAGGTGTATTGAAACTGGTCATAATAATACAATTCCAGTTCCAGGTCCGTGCCATAGAGCTGCGCGTACCAAAGTACATCCATCAAGATGGCGCATGAACCTGAAATAAGTTCCATTAGTCGGGAAAGCTCGGCTGCTTCTCTTATTATTGGCCTGCTGCAGGATTGATTGGCGCAACTAGTCGCTGACCCTTGGTCTTTGCCACCTCAGCGTAGTTGAATCCAGTTACAACGGCCATAGAACCATGGTGTACCATGCATGAGCAGGGACCTAATTTCCCATCTTTCTAACTTCAGTATCACAACACATCTCTATGATAGCTGCTTTGTCCACCAGCCACTGTATGCGCCATGCTGATCAGCATACCCATTGACAGCTACAAGCAGAGCATCACTATATCCATGTTTTTTGTACTAAGCTTCCCCTCTGAAATCACACACACAACATTTGACGCTGGAAGTTGTCTTTCCTGCTCATCAGTCAATCAACATACTCTATAAGTGGGCATGCGTGTCTCCGTGAACTGATCCTATGTTAAGTTCATCCTATTAACGGTGAAGACAAGCAGACAAGCATATATGCCTCCAAGCCCTGTTTAGCTTTAATTGATCCTTCTGAAACGTATTGCTTTCCTTACCAAGGTAAGAGTGTCTACTATTTTTGGTATGCACTTAGATCTCCGCTCTTCATCCCTGTTGGACTGTGACAAGATAGGTGCCTCTGACCATCCCTTCTTTGACTACCACCTGCTCAGGTATCTATTATATTAGCCTTGCTTTGTCCTCTGATTGCTTACTTCTTTTTGCTCTTATCACTTTTTCACCTTTTCTAAACAATTTTCTTAATTCTCTGCCAGTTAAAGCGTCGCTAGTTCTCTTCCCAGAGAGCTATTAGAAACTTATTCAACCATGCTCACGCGTTTGTAAGCACCATCCTTTTCTTCAACCAATACATCTTTCCTGACCGCGCTCTAACAGTTCGATTGGCTATTCAGACTTAACATCGTCCATCGGACTGACAGTATCCTGGAGTCACTGGCTAGAACTGGGGACCTACCATTATCGAAATGATTAGAACAGACAAAAAGTCACCCCCTCCTTACACCGGCCCCCCTATGATACCAAATCGACAGTTGCCACAGCTACCTCCCGTCAGGCCATACAGTCTGCCAAATACTTTATCTGCTCCCAGTCTCAACCCAACAGAATTACATCTGCCGACTTTCCATCCTGTGAATGGAGTTTCGCCCTATTCCCTCCCCCATTGAACTCGAAGGCATCCAGCTCCTCCTCCCCATTCAGTGCACGCCAACTTTCGTCAGCAGAGGACATATCCCCCTCAAGAACAGAGCAGTAAGGGCGATGTTCCCTATAAGCCGAACTATTACCAGAATCAAGCCTTTGGTATGCATCAGCGCAAGGCTGCCCGGGCCCAACAGATAATGACTGTCTTTTTCCATAGCGCAGAGAAACAAGACTGCGCGGGATATAAAGAACATAGACTAACTTTACATTCTTTCCATTGTCTAAAAGGCCTGCGATCAGTGTAGAGCAAGAAAAGCAAAGTGCAATGAAGGGTGGCCTGCCTGCAGCCACTGCAAGGAGAATAATTTGATATATATCTATAAAGAAGTTCCCCCCCATAAGTGCGTGACCTGCCTGACCGCTGTCCTTCGGCTGGTTGATTGTCAGATACTGACCCTAAAGCTAGACAGGAAAAGGCCAACCAGCAGATCTTGGACAAGATACAATATCTGGAAGATAAGCTCAACAAGAGTTTAAAACATTTTCAAACAGTACAAATGGAAAATGGGATGATGCTAAGCAAGATTTCCAACAAGTTCAGTTTGAAAGAGCCAAAAATTTTGGCTGTCAAAAATTCCACCTGATCAATGCCACCCACGCAGACACTTGCTAGATTGCAGAAACCAAAAGCCGCCGACCCCTTGCTTAAGTCAGAATCAAAGAATGGAGAGGGAATGCAGCAGTTGGATTCAGATGAACCCCCAGGGCAGAGTGATTTGGAAAGGCAGGACAGTGAGCTGTCCATGCCTGTGGAACATACAACAGCTACCCATAAGTTGCTCTCCTGGCCGTTGATTAGGAACTTACTATATCCCCGCGACTATGACAAGGATTATGTGATGAAACTTGAAGAGCAACGTGGCTTGATTCGCGTCTATGGTCATGGTGAGGGCGACGACATAAGTGAGGATTGCATATTGCCAACCCCGTTATCTAGCTCAAATTCCAGCAGCGGGTGGGAAGAGACTCACACTCACTGAGCATCACCCAGTAGTCCTTGGACACAGAGCGCTTATCCCAGCAGTTTCCCGCAGAAGCTTCCAGACAAGGGGGTTGACGAGTTTGGTACTCTGTGGGCTGATCTGGACACCATCCATCACTATCATCACAGTTACCTAGAGCACATACACAAACTTCATCCCTTCCTTAACCAGGGTGAATTGGACAAGAAGATCAAAATGTTCATTAAGTCCCATTGCTTACCAAAGACCTCCATGTCAATGCCTACAGGGACTGGCGACACGCCACAAGGCATAAAAAGAAAAAGGTCATGCAAGACTTTGCAAGATGCAGCGTGCAATTCTCCAACATCCACTGCCATTAGGACGGAAGCAATGAGCCACCGCATCAAAAAGTCAATCAATAACACTATTCTCCTTCTCATGCTTGCACTAGGCAGTATCTGCGAAGTAAGAGCACCAGTCCCCAGTCCTGTCACTGATAACCCTCCGGATTTTCGCAAAGAGTAGATCCCTAGCCCGCCCACCCACAGCATTCAATGTCCTGCTGGATCTGACATGATTCTTCCAGAGCAAAGGGGGTTCTATGCACCCCACACTAACCCGTATCCCTCGCCTGTTGACGACTAGAGAAGTGTCAGAGGGCAGTCAGCATCATCAGGTGGAGACATACCTAGCAATCAACATCTCAGAAACATCAATGCATATGCGACCCAGATCCTTGGAGCACTTCAGGGCGCTAATAGTTTGCCTTATGTTCAAGCAGCTTTGCTTACAGGACTTTATGCTGGTCAACTAGCACATCCTTTCCAGAGTCATGGATGGATATACCAAGCTGGTTGTGCTTGCCAAGTGCTCATTCAATCATAAGCTTTTGTTTAAAGCTGAACTAAACCTTCAAGTTAGCTTGCTGACCACAGTCACAGGAAACAGTATGACCAGATAAAGGACGGCCCTCTGAAAGACCTCTGCAATTTCGCGTATTGGACTTGCCTTCAGCTTAAGAGGTATGCTTGTAATGGTGCCACTATTAAGTAGATCCAACTAACTCAGAAATAGTGATATTCTTGCAGAACTTGATCTCCCCATAAGTAGTATTTCTCGTGCAGAGTCACATATAAATCTACCAAAGGGACGCTTCACGCTTCCTTTGCAAAATAAAATCTCCGCGCCCAGTACCATGATGATGTTTTTCTATTCCTCCCAAATCCACCTGCGGAAAGTGCTTAACCGTGTCCACACTGATCTGTATAAAGTTGAGAGTAAGGCACCCAAGACCATATCACCAGAAAGACCACTAATTATACCTCTATAGGAACACAAGGCTCTAATAATGCAAACCCAGGCAGAGCTACTAATGCAGCTAGTTCTGCAAGCGCTATTAATGCTGCAATTGCTGCAATTACAGCGAATCCTTCCAGCAATCCTACAACCATGAACAGCTCAAGCAACAACCGGTGGACCTCAAACGTGCAGGAAATTCTTAGCATGAATCTCGAACTATGGCGAACTAGTCTTCCAGAGATTATGAAATGGAAAGACTCTGATCCCCCCTCAAATGACATAAACGTCGCTCGCATGCGGGCCAAATATTACGGCGCACGATACATCATCCACCATCCTCTTCTATATCATGCTCTGCATTTTGCTAGACTCCCCAATCCTAATCCAACCTCCACATCAGTTGAGTCACCCGCCAGGTCCATTCACTCTGGCTTGGAACCTCAGCAGATTTCACCCTCATTACCACAGAGTCAACAGGCTTCAAACCTGGCGCATCTGTTAAATAGTATGGGCATAGCAGTCCATGGCGCCCTTCCTTCTTTTCAAAGAGACCAGATGGGCACCATTACATACCGAGATTTACCGCCTAAGCTACAACAAGCCTGTAAAGTATGCATCGAGTCTGCAATCCTGAGTACAGAGGCATTTAATGGAATAGAAGGTCGCCCAATCATGACTAATATCTTTGGAACTGCCCATGCACAATTCAGTAATATGCTCATACTATCTGCAACCTACATGTCAGGCCTCTCAGAGCTGGTGGACTGAAATGTGCTTGACAAACTTCTCAGGCAAATAATTTCATTCCTGTTGCAGAGCCGATATATCTCCCCTAGTCTTCAAGCTGATGCACGGATCCTCACCGAAATCTATGAGAAGATTTTCGGCGACCCCGCCATGGGCTTTTCTACCTAGGTTCATCCCGCTTCCGGTCTCGCTGTCCATTCCTAGGCGTTCAAAGGGCAATCATTTTGTATCCTCCCAGCGAAGGTCTCGCCGCGAGGTCGCCTGAGATAGATATACCTCGTCACCAAAACGGGCTTTCACCATCCATACATAGTGAATGAACCGAGTTTCTCAATTGCTGGGGTGACGAACCAGAGGTTGGTCAACAATATATTGCCAACTTCTGCACAGTTTACCTCTTCGCGATACTCATTTCTCTTTATACGCCGTCGGCGGTCGAGCGGACAACTTTTAGTCATAGAAGAGTTTGTAAATGATTGGAAGGCACAAATGCATTGCTCATATCTGGGGGCCTCAGTTCAATGGATGGATTGCGCCTATCCCTTCCCAGGACTATTTCTGCCCTCTCAGCGGGTCTTACACGAATGTTCTAAGATCTGGGACGGCCGGAAGCTATCCAGGCACACCGCCCAGCTCGAATAGGTAACAGCAATAAACGACCCATTCTATACTCCTCCAGATCGGCTGCCTCCAGTAGAGGACTTAGATTGCAGCAGACTAAGCTGGATCGCAGTCCCATTTTCTAGGTTTACTACAGACAGACCAACAGCAACCTGGTTAGCCAGGCAGCAACCATGAAAACCTATGGAATTCCGAATGACATGAGTATTGCAACCAGGGGTCCTTACGCGTTATGAGAGCACTAATTGAGGCCTATAGTGGGATGCTTTAATCTAATCATGGTTTTGACCTTTCTTCCAACCATGTACGCATACTTCTAGGCTGCCTTATATTTCATTTTAGACGTGCAAACTGAGACATTCTCTAGGGAAAAAATCGTCTACCCAACCCTGCGACGATTTCGCCTCAGCTTTAAACCGATCAGTCGAATCACCGCCAGTTTCCTGGTGATGGCCTGTGCCATTGGATATTCCGCAGGGATTCAAGACTGTTAGTAGTATAATGTTTCAACTCACTCTTCCAAGGCCTGCTGACCCAGGTCGCAGTGATTTACCGATCACCTCCATGCTACGACCATCCTCTCAGCAGATATTGCAGCGACGGCGGAAGAACGCCAAATGACATAAGAGACTTTCTTTCAACCATTCTTGCTCATCCTAGTGAGAGCCTAATAAAAAACACAGGTTAGTGTTTTCCTGCAAGTCCCCGTCTACACAATGACCGCCCTTTCTGAAGTCCTTGCGTACATCGCCAGCATGGAGTACGCATACACCAAAGCCCTGAAGTCCATGCGTAGCATCGTAACATCTCTCTTCCTCCTCACCTGCACCATCGGCTCGATGCTGGGCACCACACTCTTACCCATCTCAAAAGACCCCAAGGTCCTCATAGAATACGCCTCGTTGAGCGGCGTTATGCTCGTCACAGCCGTCTTATTCCTGCTCACCTTCGGGAAGTACAACAAGATAGAGGAGAAGATGAACATGCTCAATAGTGGAGAGGGGGACTCTACCTCTCTGAGTAAGATAGTGCAGCAGACGCAGACAACTGAGAAGGCTTTAAAAAGGTTTGCTGATCACTGAAATCCGGTAACAAGACCTTTGAAGAGCAGATGCGTCGTCTGGTTTATATGAGGATTTCTATGGTTCTCAATGGTCTCTGCTGACTTGCAGCACTTTAAAAAATCTTAGTTAAAACATAAAAAGTTTTTGGAGCAAGCGCTTGTTGATGGGAAATAGAAGTGAAGGCGTCTCAAACTCTTCCATGTGCTCGGTTTGGGGTTTAGTATTCACATTTCAGTTTGAATACGACAACCTCCATATACAGGTCGCAAAACGAGAATTGTTGTATTTTCAGGGGTATGAGTTCAATGAGGGAAATATAGTGAGCAAAAGTGATGATACATGCTTGATCTACAGTCTACTCTTGACTCCCCGATCTGCCGCTGCAAAAGCTTATTCAAAATCAGTGATGATATCAGTGATATGTTCTAAGCTGACCGAGCATTGAATAAGGCCCTAATAAGCATTAACCCTAGACACCACATAGAAGCCGTCAGACACAAACCTCTGTGACACCACTTGCGATTCTTTCTTCTGGTTTTAGCTGCTCGTGCGTTGTTGACCATGGGTGTAAGGCAAGCGTCCTGTCTGCATTTGTGATCTTCTGCCGCTGCACCGCAGGGCTCACTGCGTCCCCCTTCTGCTTCCGGGACGGCATCTCTGGGACGCGGAGCTACAGCACGACCTCCTGCAGCCACAGCACCAGCTTCTCCTCTGAGATAAGGACACCATCATCGAACTGGCGATCGGCGCAGAACTCTCGCCAGAGCCTCTGCGCCTTAGCGTAGGACCGAGCCGTGTTGGCCGGCTGGTTGGCGATGCTGGCAGTAACAGCATTGTTGACGGTAGCAGAGAGCGCGGCGCGGTTGCTCTGCGAGCGCTCAAGCGCCTCGGCCCCAGCGAGGTTCTCAGCCATCATCGCACGGCCGCTCCCGAAGAGCCTACCCAAAGGTATTGCGGGCGGCGGCGGCGGCGGCGGCGGTGGTGGGTGGGGTGATAAGTGGTTGATAAGCAAACCACCGCGTAAATAGGCCTTACCGGAATCACTTATCATGCCCAAATTTGGCCGGTGATAAATCAGCCCTGGCCGCCCGGTTATGTTACCTGCCTTACCCAGACCATCGATAAGTGGCCTTGGCACAAGCAGGGTCTGTTGCCAGTTGGTCATAGTTTTTCTGTAAGTAGCAATCTTGAAAATCAATCTTGCCATCAGCTCATTCTCCAAGGGAAGGGCAGTGGATGAAAAGAATGATGGATCAGTGCCTAACTTACCATTTTCCACAAAGCTAAAGAGTTGGTATTGGAGTCCCGGATTAAAGGCTCCAGCTACCTGGCCATCCAAGAGCGCGCCCATGCTGTTGCTATTCCCTAATCACACGCCACCCAGGGGGTCCCGGGGGAGGAATTTCTTTCCTCGTTCAAGGGATAGTACGACAGAACAGGCTCTAAGACGAGAAAGTAGCCAGTCACGGCCGACAACAGGATAGGCAGCGCCCCTATGTACAACATCAACAGTGTCATCATGAGGATTGCGGCATGCGCTGTTCTTAACCGCCCACCTTTGACGTTGTGTGTGACATGGACCCAATCTTCCAGAGCAAACTCTCCGCCGCGAGGGATGTTTATGGTGGGATTAGCAGAAAGAAAGATAAAGGGCCGCCAGGCTGTAAGCTCACGGCGCTGTACGTGCAGAAAAGGATCTTTTCGCTCTCCATCAGCCAGGGGACTTTTGAGAAGACTCCGAAGGCCGCAAATGCAAGGACAAGCTGCAAGCCGTGCCGTGTGAGCAGGTCCCAGACCACATTAACACTCTTTGTATGTGCATAAAGGTCCAAGGTGCAGCTTCGGAGGTAGCGCCAGCATTATTGGTCACGAATTACGAGGCGTTCCTGACGCTCGCCGTACTAGGTAGGGCGAACATTCCATCTGGCTAACAGCCATTGTCACTGAGCATGTGTGATAGCCGCTGGGCAGTGGTCAGAATAGGATAAGTGTTGCAATAGGTGTAAGATTGCTGACAAGTAAGAGTACTCTGTGAAGGTGGAGCAATGATTCTAATCCCTGTTGCTGCTGTTTAATCTGGCTGTTCTGTTACACTTCCGCTCTGTCTATCTCCCTTCTTGAATAGATGATCGCGCTGTTTACTCGCCGTTGGGTGTCAGTAGTAAGGCTCGGCCATGCAACCAGTCATACCCAACTTTGATCAAGCTGGCGATTTTTTGTAATCCATGGTTGATGTGGCAGCACAAAACAGTGGGATAGAGCCAGTTGATCACCTCAGCAAGGCAATGCACTGGCGACAGTCACATGTACCGGAAGGACAGTGTTACATTCCAAGGATCTGTTTCTTCAATACTATCCGAAATGCCGCGAGGCATCCGTAACAACGTGAAGCAAATGGAAGAATGAAATGTTGTAGAGTCAAGGAGCATGAGCTCAGAGAAGTTCCTGTGTTTCCAGCAGATGTAGCTCGTGTGTTGTTAAGAAGTGGAGAGAGGAGGGATAAAGTACAGGCTATGGTAGGGGGGAGTCAGGGTTCACGATGGGTTGGATGGGTTGTGTGGCACAGCCTTCTTTTTCAGCAAAGCCATTCCTTCAAAGGTTGATACTACCATCCAAGAAGTATCTAATACTCCTTAGAATTCCTCACAGTCAAAACTCACTGAGAATGGAGTCGCCTTTAAAGAATTATTGGAGGTATTTTATCAGAATTATTATCTTTTTTAATGTGAAGAGGATGCAACATAGTGGTTGCACAGTCCAACATATATGGAATTTTAGATCCAACATTGCACCCAGTTATTATCACTCCGCCAATAGGTTTGAGTTGATTGTGTAAACTTCAACACCCACTACTAGGGTATGTGTGGGTATAGACAACAAGTTGAGCTGGTGATATGGTTATCATGTGCGTGATTCATTGTTCTATACTCATAATCCAGACCTGGCCTACTAGGTTGAGAATATAAGTATTGCGCTTTAGCCCATTGTTAGATTATAAAGTAGGCTCAACTGATCTTATGAGACATTACTTGACATCTACAGACATAACAATTAAAGCCTTTCTACTCATCCTATCAGTGCACAGCATCTCCAATGGCCCGGTGGTCTTTTGTTACCTTGCTTTTCTGCAGTAAGTCTGAACCTGATCAGAACTCTTGTTCTTCTTCATTATCAATGAAGAACCCCTTACTCCCTGCAGCTTAATTATTAAGCATATCTCCCTGCTTCCTTACATTGCATACAGTCATGCAAGGCCAAATCCAGGCCTGCATCCTGACTTGTTTACAGCCACAGTGATTTCACTCCTGGGAACTGTTGCAGCAGTTCCTTCCAGTGAAATCAGCACTATTAATGGCATAGACAACACCACTGATATTAGTGTGAGTATGCACCACAGGATGTCTTACATATTGAGCATCTCCATTAAGAAGAAGTGACAGGTCTTTGAATGTTTCAAATTATTGAAACAGGTAAGTCTCAAGTTCTCAGCCATTGTGCGTCAAACATAGCAATATTATTGACATTTGTGAACTGAACTAAAGTGTCCTAATGGTCTAACCTGTTGCAATTTCAAATGTATTGATATATCCAATGACCCATTCCACTGTGGCTCATGCTTCAACCATGTAAGTCTCAACCACATTGAGCTTTCAGAGTCCATGACTATTCTTACACACACTCACAATTTTTGACAGTGTCCTGATGATCAGAGCTGCATTGGCGGAGAATGCAAATGCTTGACAACCGAAACAATCACGTCCACATCCACGACCACTTCCACTTCCACTACAACTTCCACTGCAATTGCCACTGCCACCGCAGGAGCATGCTTCTGTTGTGTTCCACAGAACAACCTGCCATCCAGGCTTGACGGAAGATGCGACATCATCACTACCAGCGGAAACTGTGATTTTGAGCCAGTTGGCAGACAAAACAAGATCTGTTGTGATAGTACTGTTGCTAGTCCAAGCTGTTTCTCGGTGCCCTGAAACGAACGAAGTGAGAGGAAGGGGAAACTTCTTGCACGTGACAGGAATGAATGAATGGATGAATGGGCTGTATTGAATTATATGACCGCTTGCCCGATTTGGAAGTGATTTGATTTCGCCGAGCCGCCCCTTGGCGATAATATTCGGCGATATTCGCCCAATATTCGGCATATATTCGTTCATTAATAAGCCGAATCCCTGCCTCTAATGGAAGGCATAAATAGTAGCTAGATAGTCATTCGTTTAGAAGAATCAGACCTTCATTGATTTTCCATTGGCCCTAGAAATCGCTAGTGATTCGTAAATCGATACAGTATTATTGATTTCAACAGGCTGCATGTAACTAGCCTCCGCGCTGATTATGCTGAGTCATCTGTCTAAGCATGTGACATGCCTTTTCTTAGTTCTCATGGTTCAATCGCCCTGTTGCCATAGCAAATCATATCACTGTTCTAACCACCATGTTCGGTCTCTAATTCTTTTCCTGATTGAGTTCTTCCCCTGTGATTTTCTTTCTCCTTAATCGGCCTCCTAATGCGTATGACATGTCCCCGTATTGATTGCCCATTGCCACTCTCATTTCCCCACGGTATGTTTCCCATCAGGCCTCGAAATGGTCCGACTCAGGTTCCATCAGGTTTGACTCAGGTTCAAACCTGACGGAACCTGATTTGCATAATTTTGCCAAGATTTTCCTATTTCAGATGGATAAAATAATGATTCATCAAGATTTTGTACTGTAATTTACTGCTGTTCTGGTCACTATATCAATGAACATCACAATGTCACCATATCCCTTGTGAAATTATATGAAATTCGTCTGTATATAGAATACCTAGCATAGCAAATGTTATATCTAATCAGATTTAGTGGCCTTGGGGCCTTTAGTAGTGAATTCTAGTAGAAGTCTAGAGACAGTATCATCTCCCTGTTGGAGATGGATTGAAAATGAGCATTGCAGCTGCAAGCTAGGGCATTGTTGAAATGCGCTTGACTTATACTAGAATGACATGAAGACACCTCAACCTCCCTGTTTTCGGCTTCGAAGCCATCTGCGACAACCGCGGCTCCGGGCGAAAATAGCTTCTTATATTTGCTAGAGCACATGGTGAGCCTTTATTTCCAGTTTGGGCAGTAGGTTTGGCGTGCTCACCCCAGAGCCCCTATATTTCATGCACGGCATTTCACTGGTGCCCATCCCTGAGCCACCACAAAGAGGACACTTAGCCATCGTGATCTTGCGCTCAGGTCAACTTAGTCGAGCTTGCGCTATGAATTGGGTATCTCATTCTTACCTTGGATTACGTCGCTGATGAAGGGAAAGGGAGGATAGATTCTTAATTTGGATGTAGCTGGTTGTTGTTTAGGTATGACTACGATAAGTAGACAGTCTACAAAGGGGTATTTATACAGTGATTCTTGTTCCTATTTATACATAGTAGTGGTCAATGCATCTTGGGAATAAGGCTCCAACTCTTGAACTAGTTTTGTTTGGCAGTTTTGCAAAGCTATGAGCTTGGCACGCGTCTATCCAGGGGTGTGTCCAATCAAAGCTGGTAAGATTTAATCTCCCATACTGGGGATGAAATCCTGTCCACTTGCTTGGCTTATGGTCTCCATATAGTTCGTACTGCCCAGTTGAGGCGGAAAATCAGTGGCCAAGTTTGATCGCAATGACCAGCTTCTACTCTATATGTACTCCTATGAGAGATGTAGCACCCTACAATCAAATTCACTTAATGATGCTCGATATCGCCTTTTTTTGAGACTAGTTAAATAATCTTTAGCACTCCTCTCTCTTGTTTTTGCTACCTCTCATACTTCTAAAGCAGTTTACCGCCAGATTGCTATAAGATTCTTAGTTGATCCATATCGCTCAAATGGTTGGTATTAGTCCAGTGCAAGGTTTACCAGGCGTGCTAACTAGTTTGGTTCAAGACTTCTCTGCATGAATCTATCCTGCGTACATTGGCAAAGCCAGCATTGAAGGGCCTGGCAGTATAATGTCTGGCTCTGCTTGCTGATGAGGGCAAGAGTTTACCGTCCAACCTCTGATCTGAAGCCAAAACGCTCCTGGAGATATGCCAGGCACTCCGGAGAAGTAGCTTTCAGGAGGAGGATATCACTTGCCTAGCGCAAAACAGAGTTCTTGATGGCTACACCGAAGTTTTCTTGGAAAAACTCAACTACAACTGCCTGCTCGTGCTGTCTCTCTTAACCTGGCACTTTAAAGCATCCCTGCATGTTTTTCCAAAGTCATCACCCCCCCCCCTCGGGGACTTTTACAGTTCTTCCGCTGAGAAAAGATGATCTTGAGCAACTGTATGGAATTCTCTGTGAACGTTACAACCATCTCTCGGAC